GGCGGCTTTCGGCTTCCATTTGCCAAAACGCCCCTGGAAAAAAAGAAGTCCAGTAGTGATAGATTCCCTTTAAAACCAACAAGGGAGAAAAATAGAAAAAAGTGAAGCAACTGGAAGCTTGCCATTTTGTATTGGCTTGTTGGGTGTGTGTGTGTGCGCGTCTTTTTGAGGCTACCATTTTTGTTGCTGGCTTTTAAAGGGAAACCAGAAGGACAACCACCATTGTGGGGTCGCCTGAGAAAAGACGCACCTCGTTGGATCTTGTCGGTTCTCTTTGGCTAGTTTGTGTTGGTTTGGTTCACCCAACAAGCTACAGGGTAAAAATCCAACCAAATAGCAGCCAAGTTTCAGGGTGAGTACCGCATCCTTCCAGTTGGACTTGTGATAGGCGAGCCGATAATAAGTGGCACCGGACATGTCCCCGCTGGCGTCGAAGTCTTTCAGAACATAGTCTCCTCAAATCACGATCGCCAAGACGGAAACGCGGTAAAAGGGTAGCTGTGATATTTCATGTTGCCTTCTCTTCGGCTGAACGGAAGTGGGACGCATTGGGTTTCACCCCGTCTGGCCCAAAATGGCTCTTCCTGTGGCGCCACTTCAACCGTATCCCAACACCCAGCAACATGGAACCCACCACAGGCCCGCTTGAACAGGACCTCCGGTCAGGTCCCATGTTTGTGGGCGGCTTACACATTTTGAAAGCCGCTGATCTGATGTTCAGGCGCTGTCATCCCAAACCTTGATGCCATTCTTCACCGGCTCCTCAGGGAAACTGATTCGACAAAAACGAGCATCTGGCTACTGTGACCTTTCGAGTGAGGGGTTGCCAAAATGCGTCGGTGTCATTCTGTGGTCACCATTGTGTCCGCCCCCCCAAAACAAACACAAGAAACAAAGAAAAACAGGACACAAATGCACTCTCCCGCGTTGCAATTTGGAGGGGGCAAACGACTCTGTGTGAGTTTGGCGGACAAAACTCTGTGCAACAAGTAGAAGGGGGGCATTTCATCCAACGGCATTGTCGAACCAGCAGCCATCTCTATCAATCAGATTTGCGGTTGATTGCTTCTTTGAAATGCCCGCTCTTTGAAATGCCCAGCAAATTGAGACCATGCATCACGGCACTGTGACACCCTTTGGTGGTCAACCAATTTCATGGGCCTCGAACATCCACCGATTTCCATAATCGAAGGGCACCCACACGAACTCATAGCCATAGAGCGTCACCTATGCAGCCACCACGCGACCTTTTCCGATGCCAGGGTTCGGGCAAATACTAATGTGACCTCGCATTAGCAGCGGCCAAATTTCACGAAGAATACTGTCTGCCCCTCTCATGTTGCGAGTTTTAATTCAGGACCACTCGGCAGACATCATTTACGGGGTCAATGTCCACCAGCCATTTTCGAGGACGTCCCAAACGATAAAATTCATTGCCATGTTGTGGATCAAGGGTAACCCATCTACTGGTGCCAGCAGGTAACTAAAAAACTCAAACCTGGGAAAATGTATCGGAGGGACATCTACTTGAGTCCCCGGGATCTGCGAAGTGCGGCGCGGCTCGGTTTCTGTGCCAATCGGTCCGTATGGCCCGTGAAGAACTGACTGGGTTCCAGGCTGGCGCCGGTGGACGAGCACGTGAAGGGCGGCTTGTCGCAGAAGGGGCCCGTGGTCAAGCAGTTCCCTTGCCGCCATCCGCACTGCACCTGGTGGTGTCCCCCCACTCGAAGGCTGTGTTTTGGTTGCTTTTTTCGCCCCTCCTCTTGAGAAACAAGCTATTTTCCTCGGGGCTTGGCCCGAGCCTTGAGAAGGATCACATAGGGCAGGTACGCAACTTGCCTATGACGTAAATGCCATCAAGGCTCAGCCCTAATTGATATGAACATGGCCATCGATAAATCACTTTCCAGGAACCTGCACTTCACCTCGCCTTGAAAATAAATCAAAGGCGGCTTGCCAAAAGGCCAAGCCAATCAAAACCGAAAGGCTTGCCGGAAACTTGCCAAAGGGGCCAGCTTGTTGTTGATCAACGCGTACTTCTCATTGCACGCCGCGGAGTCCCGGACAGAAGAGCAGAGCTTCTGCTCCGCGATTTGGCCACCCTGACCTGGGCCGAACTGGAAGGCCGAACTGGAAGGCCCAAACCTGCGAAACGCGATATGGCCATGGGTCAAAATCCAAAGCCTGTACCCCCAGTAAACATCCCAATCCAACCACTAGAAGAGGTTCTAAAATGGGTGGTGAATTCACCTACCCCAAAATGGTAGCATTGGTTTTGACCCACAGCCATATCATGGTTTGCTGGTTCAAAGGGAACAGGAAGACACACCGATGGTCAAAAAGTGAAACCTTCCCCACGCTTGGCAGAAAGCGCCGATCTTTACAGTCCACGAAGAGGATTCCTCATGCCTTGAAACCCCCCAAAGCTCTGGCGCTCAACAAAAAGGAACACCAAAAAACCAAGTCTGGCAAAATCTGGAACCCTCCGTGCCGAGACCCAAAATCCAAGGGATTCGGTCTTTTTGGAGGTCTGGGAGCTCAAAAGCTATGCAGGGTTCTTGGAGAAACCAAGAGTGGCCATGAGAAGGACTCCTTAGGGGGAAGCAGGGAGCCACTTGACATTAGGCAAAGTGATGGACATATCAAGAACGACACGCCCAAGTTGTACTAAGTTCTTGATCTAGACTGTTATTAAAAGAAGCACAACTTCAAAAAACTACTCCCACAAAAACAAAAAGAGCTAATCCTGGCAGTGTGACAGGGACTACATCTCACTTCCAGGAAGAAGTAGAAGCCCAAGATGGGCCCAAGCATTCGCTGCATTTCTTCGGATGCGCTCCGAGCGCTGGCTGCGAAGAACAAGGCATCTACGAAAAACCACGTGCGTGCGTGCGTGCGTGCGTGCGTTGGGTGGGTGGGTGGGTGGGTGGGTGGGTGGGTGGGTGGGTGGGTGGGTGGGTGGGTGGGTGGGTGGGTGGGTGGGTGTGTGTGTGTGTGTGCGTTTTGCTTTGGAGTCCCCTGTTGGTTTTCAAGGGAAACCAAAACCAAACTTGACAAACCCACAACAATGGAGTTGGTTGAATCGTGCTCCACAGGCCTATCCCAATCATGTCGGCCCTTATTGTACCGTGGTTCACCAAGAGAAGCCCAGCTTCTGATTCACCAAAAGAAGCCCACAATTGAGTTCTCAGCAAGGGTGAGCTGGTTTTATTTGCAGGCGAGCCACAATCAAGACCTAGTATCACATCAGCCTATCGAAAACCCTGTAAAAGAATCAAGTGCGGATACCCACACCTATTCACCTACTTCTGGTTGAGACTCTCCCACAACCTTCATCCACTCAGGTTCTGATGGTGGATCACGTGAGCTTGCACTGTCGATGGACAACGGATGGGCAAACACCTGCACCAGTTTGGATGGATGAGACCGTATGAATGGGATGTGCCACCTACCATCTGCTGCGGGGTGTTGTCCAGCCACACTATTGCAAGTGAGGGACCAAGGGTTTCCCCTCTGAATGTCCCTAAGACAACCCATGGTTTTGTGGTGTAGAGCTGGTTGAGTATTTGAAATTGAACTCCAAGGTTCTCCTCGCAAAATGGACCAAATGCGTGGAGCCTCGATTTTTCCAGGGGCCTTTTTGGAAGCCTTGCGGTTCGGCCGCAACAGGTCACCTAAGGTCAGGGCTGGTAGAGGATCAGTTCTTGCCGAACCAGTGGTCAAAGACTACGGCGGGGGTTAATTAGTTGCAGCCACCATCAAAAATCCACACCGATGGTTGGGCTCATACTTCACCATCTTTTTCTTTCAGGTTTTGATGATCCAATTTGGGCCCCTAGGCCGTTCTTTTAATGGGGGCAAGGAACCCTAGAGTATGGCAAGAGATCACAAACCAGTCATGGTCTAAAAAAGTGAACGTCTACAAAGTCAAAGGGCAAGCAATGACTCTCGGAGTCGAGTCACCTCACGTCGCTTCCTACATTCAGCGGCTGTGAAGCTTATTTTCTGTGCACGGCTCAACATCCAAAGGTCTGAGAATCCGTAGGCTCAAAGGAGATGAAGCATCAAGCTCTGAGCCGATTGCAGAACTCTGTGCATGCAATTGGCTGTGGCCAAAACTGCTAAAACCCCGAAACAAGATCCTGCCAATTGCGCAGTCGTAGTCCTGAAGGATGGAGAAGCAAATGCCCCATGCCCGATAGATGATTTAGAAAAAGACGAAAAACGTTTTGGCGACGGCACGTGCGGAAAACAAACCAAGTACCCGTAAGATTCTACAAAGCGGCCTACTGGGTGCTCTTCCACCCGGCAAAGGCCGCCTGCCATACGTGCCATGGTCAATGCTCCGGAAGGTGACGGTCATCTCTTTGAACTCAACGTCTTGGTTTCTGACATCTTGATACTGTGGATGGACGAAATCCTGCACCACTTTGGAACCATGGGAACCCATTGTTTGCTGGCATTTACAGGGAAACCATCATTCCAGGGTTTCTTAGGTGGTGCAGGATCCACATTATGACCGTGGACCATGCAATCAGGTGCTTCGACTGTGGCTTCAAACCTCGAACTCTGATTCACCAGCGCTGTCTGGCCCTCGCGATCCTCACACAATTTGTCCATTCTCCAAAAGGAGAGTCCCAACAAAAATCGGAAAGGTACCTCTTGGAAGGTTGAGCCAAGCTGACATGCAAGTATCATTGCAAATACTTGCCTTGTAGAAAACCCAACCTCCCAGGAGGTACCACTCTATGGTTCTTTGGTGTCCATGTCAATCTGCAGGAAAGTAAGTCTCCCTCCTTTTTGCCGACAGCCAGCTCCATGCAAGATTGATTGGCACGGCCGATCTGGCCGACGCTTTCTTTGCCGCAAAGAGTGCTGAATAGGTTTGGAGTGTCTGGAAAACCAACAAGCCTTCTGCTTCAATCAAATTCGCTGGTGAGCTCGCTGGGATCTTGTACATTTTTCCCTTATGAAAACATCTCTCCTGGGACCCATGCACAATCCAACCCAAAGCTTAAGTTGCTCATTTTTTTCGGGGACTGATCCCGAATCCGTAATGCTTCGCGGGACTCCAGTACAACAAAGGGCAACCGCTACCCTCTTGCAGGAGGATGTTGAGGAACGATTTGAATCATCCCAAAACCACGGGCGCAACGGGCCATCCCCATGACTACTTCAGTGCAAAGGGCATTCCCTTCTCACAGAAAGCGGGGCAACTTGCAAGAACATGTTTCCACCGGCACAAAGCACTCCTTACTTCTGCTGAACAAGCGGCGTGGCACTCACTCAAGGCCTGCCGATCTCGCCCGGCCAAGCGGAATGTCAGCAACCCCGGATCAAGATACCCATCGTAGGAACCAGGGGGCGGGTGTCACCCAGAAATGTGAAGGATTTCCACTAAAAGACGACACTCTCTATTCATCAAGGCGGGTGATTAATCCGGAGTCAACATCATTCGACTTGGGCCTCAAAACATGAGCTGAGCCTTTTCTTGAATTCAAAACAACATGTGTGCTGGAAACCAAGCCAAGGCAAATTCGCATCCGAGCCATGGATCCACACCAAATCACCATTGATCCATGGCGTGCAGAATATCCAACAACCTGACATCGTGTAACTAATTACATCTGTCGATTTGTTTTGAGGCTACCCCGTGTTTAGTGGGTTTCAAGGGAAACCAAAAAGGAACACCACCATTTTGGTGGGTCCCTTAAACAAAGACACACCCACGTGCGGAACACCACCATTTTGGTGGGTCCCTTAAACAAAGACACACCCACGTGCGGAACACCACCATTTTGGTGGGTCCCTTAACAAAGACACACCCACGTGCAAAAGCTGAACAGACAACTACATTTCCGTGAGAGTAGCCAGGACCCCTGAAACCATTCTTTCTCACACGTGTCCCGACAGCCATGGCCATCACTTGCGTATGCACCAAACCAGTCAGACTAGGGGCCCTATATTAAGACGGACGTCAACCACTTAGAAGGGTCCTGAACGGCCAAGTCTGCAGTTCTGGCTGCACTTCCTCAATTCAGACCCAGGGATCTTTTACAGAAAGCTACACTGGGAAGTTGCATGGCTTCTCAAAATGGGTGAAAACGAAGAGGGATCGGATCAACCCAGAAAGAAGCCTTACCGCAATACCCCACCCATTGTTCTGCCTGGTGCTTGGCTTTCCCATTCTAGGTCCTCCAGTACAGAGGTTAGAACAAGGGTACCCGATTTTTTTGTCTGTAGTCTATTTTAGTAGGGGGACCCTCCCCCAGAAAGGGCAAAAGGGAACTACTGCTAGAAAGAGCATTGTTCTGCCTTGAGGATGTCCGAACCCAAACCACCCGAGTCCCTGAGAACTCCGCCTGCAGCATAGGCCAGCACCTCAGCCTGGCATACGCTGCGCCGCCTCGGAGCTTCCGACCAGGGGAGGTCCGTCGGTCCGAGCCCTCCCGGGGTGGGCTGCGGTGTGGCATTCCCTGGGTGTCAAGGGACGCCAAAAGGCTTTGAGGGATTCACCCCCCCCCCTCCATTTTTGCGGCAGTCCCATGTTGACGGCCCAAAAGGAAGGAGATTCCTCTACAAATGGAGTCCGGTGGTCCCATGCGAATCAATGTAAATCAACGAGAACCTCACGCAAATGAACCCATGGAACATCCAGCTGATCCCCTAAAAGGAGCACCTCCCCCTTTCAGTCACGTTTTCCGTCCCAGTTCTGCTTGGGGCCCCAACTCATCGCGACTCGCCGGCTCCTGCCGATTTTGCGGAATCCGAGTGGTTCCTGAGGCGACCAGGATCCTTCCGTTTCAAATCAAGAGGGCGTGGCCTTCTTGGTTTCAAGTGCAGTCGAACTGCATGCCTTCGCACGGCTTCTGAATTGTGTTCGGTCTTCACCCGCTGTCACAAATGAGCTCTGCTACGGCTACAGCATGCAAGACGAGCCTCGGTAGGCAGGCATACAGCAGCTGGAGCCTGAGACAGTCAAGCAGCCTGTCCTGTCGTCCTGTCAAATGCCACAGACCTGTGACAACCAACTTTCCAGCAAGAAACGCAAACTCTTTGAACCTCCATACCCCTACATCTGACAACTCATGAGATGGCTGACTTCAAGCCTGGCTGATTTCAGCAAGCCTTTGCATGGCTCGAGATCAGTCTCTCGGGCTCATCCTCACCGCAGTGCGTGCTCAAGCCTGTGCCGGAAACCTTGCCACAAGGGTAAAAGCTGGCCCACTACAGATGCATGAAGCCAAACCAGACCATCCAGACCAAACCAATTTCCAGCCTATCTGGCCGGTTTAGCTGAATTGCAAGGGAACAAAGCAAACTCTTGGGTTGTGGTGGTCTCGTCGCCGGCTCTGTTGAAACCCCCGTACCTGGGCGTGAAATCCATAAAACAAATCACAGCCCATCCTCCCGTGTTCGGCCAGCCTTCATCTCACGCGCCGCAGCCTGCCGGTCAGGAGACCAAAAAGCAGGCTGACCCAAACATGTGGGTCATGCTCATGTGTTGCTATTTTCTCTGGGAACCCTCGTCATTGTCCAGATCTCCAAGGGTTCTGGCCAACCCTGAGTAAAGGTGTTGTGACCGTAGCACGTCTACCAAAATTTATCTTGGTTGGTCCAGGGGGGGAGGTTTCATTCAGGCTTGCTTTGTGATGGGATCGGCATTCGGCTTGCTTCGCAAAATGTCAGTCCTAATTTGTGGCAAAGCGGCAAGCGAAGGGTCTTTGTTGACAACTCTGGCCACAAAGCAGCTTCTTGCACTTTCAAACCTCCAGCAGAGCGCACCCCATCAGTTCCGCATGTATATATTTGTATACACATAACTATGCAATACATACTGTACATATTGCGAGTCAATTAGCTTCTTGACATTGCCCGCCTCCTGCGAATTGTTTGCGAGAGCACAG